AAAAAAAAAAAGTGGATTCCCTGTAATCCCAATACTTTGGGAGGCCGAGGCTGGAGGATTGTTTGAGACCCTCCTGGGCCACATAATGAGACCTCATCTCTACAAAAGATTTCTAAATTCGCCAAGTACGTGGTGGCATGCAGCTGTAGTTCCCAGCTACTCGGGAGGCTGAGGCGGAAGGATCGCCTGAGCCCAGGAGGTCGAGGCTGCGATGAGTCGTGATTATGCCACTGCGCTTCAGCCTGGGACAGAGTGAGACCCCGGCTCAAAACAAACAATGCAGATTCCCAGCCATCAGGCCTCGGGCGGTGCCTAGGAGTCTGCCTTTCTCCTGGATCCAGATAAGAGCATCAGGCTTTTCCCAGCCCAGATCTGGCAGCCTGGGCCTCCCCACTTTCTCCTGCCCCAGGCCCCTGCAGCCTGGCCTTCCCCTACTCTCCCCCACCCCCCGCACCCAGGCAGATTGGCCCTGGCCATCCTCTCCTCTGGACGGGCCATCACCACAGCCCACCCTGCCTCCCAGCACAGCTTCTTCATTGGTCACAGCTTCCCGGTAGCCAGGTTCCCAGAAGGGATGGTCCTTTCCCTGCCAACTTGCCTGCCCCTTGCTGCACCCAGGGAGGGGCCCACAGCCGCAGCCAGTGGTAGCAAGTGCAGACCCCGTCTCCCTCCCGTGTGCTCGGGGAACACTCGGAGGGAAAAAGGCAGCGTCCTGTCACCCAGCCCTGTGCCAAGGCCGGCTTGCTGGCTTAACAGCGATGATAGGAGAAGCTGGCAGAATTTGCCCACTGTGTTCTCAGCCCATCCCGATCTTCAGGTCCCGGGCTGTAGAAGCCAGGCGTCGGGAGACAGGGGCAGGCACCCAGAGCTGCCCGAGAAGGGACTGAGGGGCAGGGGTGTCTGAGAAGAGGCCTCTGAGCCACTTCTGCCCAACGCAGGGGCTGGCTTGCTGCTTTTTGAGGCCAGGTTCTGGGGCAGGGACTGTGGTGGGGTGGCCGGCCCGGTTGTCATAGAGATGACTCTGCCCTGCCCCAGCTGTGGGTCTGGAGGTTGTGGCTTCAGAGAGCTGGGAGTGGGCACAGAGCCTCTGCCCCTTCCTAAGGGAAGCCCACCTGGCCAGCCCAGGCATCTCTCCCACCGCGCTGCTTGGGCACCAAGAGCCAAGCCACCAGAGGGCCGTCCAGCCAGGCTGCAGCCACCTGAGCGCCTGTCACCAGCGACTCCATCCCCGCTTTAGGAGGAGCAGGGGGTCTCCACCGGCACTGCCTACTCATCCCATGCCCCAGGCGGTTGGACCCACAGCCAGTGTGCAGGTTGTGGAGCAAGACAGTGCAGGGGTGGGGACCCATGTGACCCTCCCAGGACCCCACAAGGTGGATCTCATGGTCCCCATCCTGCAGATGTGGAAACAGGCAGGCTCAGAACATGGTGGGGGGGCGGTGTGGGCAGAAGAAGGGAGCATCAGGGAAGCAGCCATGGGAAGGGGTCACATCCTCAGTGGGCCAGGTGGGGCCTGGGGGCTGTCTGGACTGGCCAAGGGGCAAGGGCTGGAGAGGCCCCCTTCCGCCGTGAGGCAGCTCGGTGCTCCCCATCCAAGGTGGGGCCGGGATCAGACCCCAGATGTGGAAGTGAGAGCAAGGGGCAGGTGAAGGGGTCTCCTTTCCCCACACCAGCACCCCCCCACCTTTCATGGGAGAGAACAGGAGAGCAGGACCCCACGGGTCCTGATTCCCACGAGGGACAGCTGGGCCGTGCGCTGTCCACACCACACCCTACCCAGAGGCCTTTCCGGGTGGAGGAGCTCGGGATTGCTGGGCGCTAGCCTGGGTTCTGTTTCGACTGGCCCCATTCAGTCATCGGTGTCCCCAGCCCAGCACGGCTGACCACAGCTGGAACTCGGGGGGCCTGCCTCGTCGCAGGGAGCGGATGAGGACAAGGCACCTGGCCCGGGCAGGACCCGCACGGCGGGCGGCCAGCCAGTGTATGTAGTTGCCACTATCAGTGTGGTCTGGAAGCTTTGACGGGGTGCTGCGAGTCTTTGCCGGCTTGGAGGGCAGACCTCGCCATTGCCCTGGGGCGTGGGCCTGCTCTGGTCACATCAGAGGGTCCGAACTGCAGAACAATCGTAGACATGTGGCTTAACCTCTCTGAGCTGGGCTCCTCAGCTAGCGGGCGGCGATGACTGCCTCGCCAGCTGTAGTCAGGGTTCAGTGAGAGGTGAATGTGAGTCTTCTGCCATGGTACGCCCACGCTACGGCATTCCTGTTATTTGTATTATTTAGCGTCTTTCAGAGCCCAGGGCTGCCTTTCCGGGACGAAGGAGGGGCACAGAGATTTCTGCAGGGGAACTGGGGAGAGAAAACAGGTATCTGCAGTGTTGTTTTCACTGTGGTGCCCAGGGTCTCGCTCCAGGCCCTCAGCCAATCACTGGGAGAGCTTTTAGAAACCGGGGCACCTTGGCCATGTGGGCCCCCTGACTGGGTCTGTTGTGGTGGAGGAAGGTGTCTGAGTCAGGCCAGGTTAGCAGCATTCTAAAACCTCCCAGGTTATTTCCAATGAGTAGCCACTGTTTCAGATGCTTGGCTGGGACACTGGGAGCCTGAGGTGGGAGGATTGCTTGAGACCAGGAGTCCAAGACCAGCCTGACCAACATAGCAAGATCCTGTCTCTACAAAATCAAAGCAAAACAAAAATTGGCATGTGTGACGGTATGTGCCTGTAGTCTCAGCTTCTCAGGAGGCTGAGGCAGGAGGATCATCTGAGCCCAGGAGTTTGAGGCTACAGTAAGATATGATGGTGCCACTGCACTCTAGCCTGGGTGGCAGAGGGAGACCCCGTCTCTTAAAAAAAAAGAAAAGAAAAAAAACAGACACTTGGCTGGCAGACCCTCCTCCAAGCTGCTTCCTGTGTCTCAATGTCAGGCCGCGACAGTGGTATCCACCCCACCCTCCATGAGACTGTCCATTACTGGTCAGGCCAGTGCTCCCTGTTTGAGCGGGCCTCAACCCCGGTGGGCAGGACGACCTTCTGGACGCCTTTTAAGCAGCACGGATGCCCAGGTCCACACTGGCCCCATCTAGTTGGGTTGTCTGGGGATGAGGCCTGGGAAGTCTAAATTTCTCATGTCCCTGGTGATGGCTTCTGAAAGCGCCTCTCTCGTTTTGCAAACCACATCATTCTCCGCACCCCAGAGAGTCACTTCCCAAAGAAATATTGCAGTAAGCTCTTTTGAGAGGGGAACAGACTCCCTCATCTGTCTGGCGGCACAGGTTTGTATTGGAGCGTCTCAGGGCGGCCTGCAGGGCTGCAGGGGTGGAAGGGTGGGGAGTGCTCAGGAGGCCCCAGCATGCTCCAGGGCGTCCGGGGCCCGGGATGCCAAGGCAGTCTGTGCTGGAGCCTGGGACAGGGGCAGGCCAGGCCCCCAAGGAGAGGCTGGGGCGTGGGGTGTTGTGTGCACTGCTCTGTGGTTCAGGAGACGGGCCTGCCCGGCTCTGCCCCTCTAGCCCTCCCTCCCTCCCTCCCTGGGAGGCCCCGGCCAAGGCACCTGCCCTCTGGGACCGAGCGTCCTCTGCAGGATGTGAGTGCGGATGGCCCACGGCCCCCGGCCTGCCCAACCCCACACGGCAGCCCGAAGGAGCAGGCAGCTAGTTCCCGGGTCCAGGGAGGCCTCGCGCCCACACCAGGCTGCCATGGGGGTGCAGAGCCCGTCCTGACCCTGCCGGCCTCTCCCGCAGCTCTCCCCAGGCTCCGAGGAGGACGAGGCCCACGAGGGCTGCAGCCGGGAGAGCCTGGGCCGCATCCAGTTCAGCGTCGGCTACAACTTCCAGGAGTCCACGCTCACCGTGAAGATCATGAAGGCTCAGGAGCTGCCGGCCAAGGACTTCAGTGGCACCAGCGACCCCTTCGTCAAGATCTACCTGCTGCCAGACAAGAAGCACAAGCTGGAGACCAAGGTGAAGCGGAAGAACTTGAACCCCCACTGGAACGAGACCTTCCTCTTCGAAGGTGAGGCCGGCGCTGCCCTCCCTGCCTGCCCCACCCTGTGTCCCTCTTGCCACCCAACCCCACCCAGCCACGCACCTGCGGCCACAAGGGCAGATATGTGTGCCAACACATACCTGTGGGCACACACCCAGGCAGGCGCGTGTCTTGACCCAGTTAACCCAGTGCATTTTGTGTCTAGCTGGGATCAGGTCACAGGAGCCGAGCGGAGCCAGCATTTCAGCCAGAGGCCGAGAACGAAGGCTGGGTGGCCGCCTTGTGTTTCCCAGACACAGGACTCATTCTGGGGAGGGAACAGAGGGAGACACCCATAGAACTCAGAGGTGGAGCACCCTGGAGCTACCAGAGTGCAGTGATTATGAGCACCGGTTGTGGCCTAGACTACCTGGGTTTGAATCCCAGCTCTGCGACCTATTTGCTGTGTGGCCTTGGGCAAGTGCCTGAACCTCTCTGTGCCTTGCTTTCCCCATCTACAAGACAGAGATCCTAATAGTGAGGATGGTACACATCAGTCAACTGTAAAAGTTCTTAGAGCAGCGCCTGCCACCCACAAAATGCGTGATACCCGGGTTTTTTTTGGTTTTTTTGAGTTGGAGTCTCACTCTGTAACTCAGACTGGAGTGCAGTGGCATGATCCCAGCCACCGCAGCCTCGACCTGCTGGGCTCAGGTGATCCTTCCGCCTCAGCCTTCCA